GCATCAGAACCGCAGTCCTGCGCTTGAGTCCTCCTCCAAACCGTAACAGAAACTTGTCGCACTTTGTTCATTAAGAAGATAAAACAAACACAGGCTGCTGTTTGATCTCTCATCTCATACTAGTTCTATGCACCCCTCTCACTCTTTTCCCCCTAAAGCCCCGAGAAAAAAAATGGTCAATAAATAAATACATAAAATCACCACAATTTCTTCTCTTGGTTTATCTGCACATTCACAGGGGTTAACGACTGACACAAGGTGAGGAAGAAGACAAGTCGGGTGAAACGAAATGCATAAGCTGGTGAAAGTACTGTAATGTTCTTTATTTCTGTATAGGAGTGGCTCTATAGTGCAGTGGATTTCACATTTGCCTATAAAGAAAAAAGATGGTTTGACTGATTCCTGGTTTCAGTCCTCCTCCTGGGAGGAGACACAAATCCCTTGAGGAATATGATAGGTAGGCCATTTAGCGTCAAAATTTGACAAATCAAACATGTGATGTTACAGAACCCGCCGTGGTGATCTGTTGTGAATAGCTGAACGTACAGGGCTGTAAAAAGGTATTCGACCCCTTTTTGCTGTGCTATTCTTTGCATATTTTTAATACTTAAATGCTTCAGATCATCACACAAATTTTAATATCAGACAAAGATAACATGGTTAAATACTAAATGCATTTTTTAAATGATGATTTCATTTATTAAGGGGTGGGGGGCATCCAAAAGATCCTTGCTGCTATGTGAAAAAGTCATTTTCATCTAAACCTAATAACAAGTTTCCCTGATATTATAATCAACATTGTTTCCAAGACATCCTTCTGCAGAAATCTGCACCAGTAAGTGTGCGTGTGTGAATGATCCATGTGCAAGAACCAAATTCGTTGTTGTTATGAAGTCAAATTCATATTTTTAGGTGCGTATGTTAAGTTTGTACGTTCAGTCTGTCCAGGTTCTGTCAAATTTGCAGGCGATCACAAAGGGTAATACCATGATTGGCACTGTAGTACCTGCATTACTGGAAACTACAGCACTTTTAAATACCTCCTGGCTACACCGGAATAAACAAAATTATCATATATTTCAATAAAATGCCAAGCTTATAGAATTATTATAATTAATGTTTAGAGCAATGCAGTTAATTCTTGTGTCACAATATGAAATGACTGATTCATTAATTTTACAGTTTACTCTAAGAGTGTAGTTAACCTGTGAAAATAGCTACACCACAGCATACACATGGGGACACCATTAAGGCTGCAAGTACCTCATCGTTGAATTACGTGCTTAATTTCACAATTATCAATGTAGTGGTATTTTTTGGGACATTTAAATAAAATTTCCTTTAAAGATTAATCAACAATCAATGTACTGTCTCAAATCCAATGAGACTACAAACTCATAACCCCAAACTCCACGTCACCCTTTTGTTTTGTCTCCTCACTGTAATTTTTCCTGCCTCCTGTACAGCTGAGTTCAGCAGTCAGCCACGCCCTAGAGGGACACATTGAGGTTATAAGTGTAGATCTAACAACTAGCTGAAGAGAGGAAAGGAAAAGCAGGCCAGAGGAAAGTGAGCCATACAGAGAGCGAGGGCAGTGGGGAGAGGGAATCAACAACAAAGTCTCTGATGTTAAGGAGGTTGGAGGTGGATTTCTGACATAAAAAACCTAATATGAAGATGAAGCTACTACACCTCAGCCTGAAAACATTATGACGGAGATAAGAGATAAGGACCGAAAGAAGAAAAAGATGGAAATAAAATAAGTGAGGACTTATTAATTAAAAAGAAGAACAATCATGCAACTTATTAAGTCCAGTGGGGCTACTAATTTCTGTAGTATAGCATTGTTTTTACTTGTTTCCACTGCAGGGCCAAACTCATCCCCAAGGCAAACTCAAAGGCAATGAGATAACACCTTCCTGATATTCACCACAAAAATGCCAAAAGGCTTAATGTAGAAATGTAGATTTTCACTGAATCTACATTTCAAATACAAGCAAGGGCATCGGATTCATTAAAAAAGTGTGTAGATGGTCACTGTATAATACGCTATGCCCACAAGTCAAATGCCTGATCTTTGTTTTTATAAACAGGAGCTTAACGAGCTTAGCCACCACACTCTGTACATACTGGTTGTGATGGCTGGTAATCTCTTCTTAATGAGGACAAAATAACCTGAAATAAGGTAGTGAATGCTTCAAATGTGTTGACATGACAAATGGGGACTGTTGGGACAAGGGTACCTTGGCCCCCGTACTTCTTGTAGCGTTGACTATCAAACTGAGCTAACCTGGCATCCAAGTGACCCACCAAAACATGGTGGTTGACCCAGATCTCACCAGCTTTTCTTTCCTATTGTAACTCAAAGCCTGGTGTCTGCTAACGGAAATGAGACTGGCCTGCCTCCCATTAAGCCTCTGTTGTAGCCAGTGGCGGTCCTAGCCTGTTTGGCGCCCTGGGCAAACACTCCTTCTCTCTGTACAGAAGCACGTTCAGTGAGAGACTGAGATTACCAAAAAGCACCACTGACCGACACAAGAAACCATCTCCTTGTTCAACTACTCCATCTAACACAATAGTTACACCCTTTTTACACATGCTCTTTTCTACTCTGGAGTATTCTCGTCAATTTTCTTGATATTTATTTATAATCACTTCAGTTAATCCTTGATATTTATAATTGAGTGATCTGCATATATTCGTGCTATTTCTTAAATGTGTAAAATCTGTAACATACTGTATTGTTTGGAGTTTAGTCTGTTACTGTTACTATTTTTACCATTTCTTCTTGGAGCAACTGTAATCCATATAATTTCCTTAGGGATTAATAAAATATTCTGATTCTGATTGTTTCAGGATGACCTGCCATTATCCAATGACACATCTGCTTACCTGTATCTTTTGCTCGTTTCTCCTCCTCTTCTTTTCTCTTTTTTCTAAACTGAGCACCTGATGGTTTTGACCTCTTCTTGTCCATCTTCCATTGGTTTTAATTTTGCACTCCAGTATGAACACAAATCCCCCAACCCGAGGATCACCACAACATAACATAGACCTACACCTTAGTTCACAGATTCACTTTGTCTAGGGTTTATTTCTGGGATTTCGCACAACCCAGGAACAAATCATGAATACATGATGGGCTTGGATTTACAACATTATGAATGAAATGTGCTCTATTTGGAAGCAGCCGGCCGCCCTCCCCTTTCAACGGGTTGTGTGTGAGACTTTAAATCAGCAAACTGTAAATCATAGATTTTAAATTGTTATTGATCCCTTTAACCCTGGTCCTAAAGTGTATATTTATTTTCTTACTCTTCTTATATTTATTGTTTGTTTACTTGCACTGCTGTAACTGGAGCCTCGTCGTCTCGTCTCTCTATATACTGGACTGTATGTAGCGGAGATGACAATAAAGTTTACTTTGACTTCAGCAGCAAGCAGGCGCACCGAGGGCTCTCGCTCTCACTTTTCGCGTATAGAATTTCGAAAAAAACATCGGTGCAAATGATAAGACTGTATCATGATGTCTGGTGTTTTCGTGTTTGTTGGTTTGTTTTTCTTTTCTTTTATTTTGCGAGTTGGTTATTAGATGCTGCTCCAGCCAGCCAGAGAATCGCCCCCCGCCCCGCCCTCTCCTCCCTGTGCCGCAAGCAGCAGGCGCACCTCGCAAACGGAGGGCGCCCTTATTCCCAGCAAATGGGCGATAGAAAACCGATCAGTGCCTGTACCATTCCCAATATGCGCTGGCATGATGTCGGGGCAGCATGAGTACGAGCAATTTTTTTTTCTGCCGATGCCCGTGATGCCGCCCCCCACCATGATGCCGCCCTGGGTAACCGCCCATGTCGCCCGTATCAAAAATCACTACTGGTTGTAGCAAACAAAACTAAGAGGATTTTTGTCCCCATTCTAAAATTCATTTTTTGGGGAATTTTACTTTTTGCTGACACGTGAAATATTTATACCATTAGAATGTGTCCAACAGGATATATTAATCATACAAAGGACATATTTTTATATCAACTAATTGTGGTTATATAATGGCTATCAATCTAGAACTGTCGGCACAGCATTTTCCTATTAAACTGTTCCTGTACATCTGATAAAATTTTGGCAAGACAACTGTTTCTTTTTGTTCGGGCTTTATGATAGGCCAAATTACTGGCCTTTCAGTTTATATGAGAATGCCAGCAATTTCAAGCTCATGGCAAGAAAAAACATAATATGTATTTTTTTTTAAATTACAAAAATACTTCTTACCTTTAGAGATGTAAATGCTGATGAAACGCCGCAGGATTCACATGTTACCACGGCTACCACAGCTACAGCATCATGGATGAAGGTACAGGTCCAAAATTTTCTGCTGGGTTTTTCTCACTATAGAGGTAAAAAAAAAAAAAGACATCATTACTGGACTTGAAAAATAGTGAATATAAATAGAATTGAGGGTTTCCATGCCATATTTTGCCTTTAAGATCTTTAGTGGCTTTTTTAAGTGTTTTGGCCTACAGTGTAGCTGTGGTGTACAGAGTTCCACACCAATGATTGGCTTCCAAAACAGTCTAATTTTATATAAATTGCTTGGCTGGCCTTTAACTGAGAACTAAAGAGCTGCAATTGTGCACCACTGAACCAGGAGGAAGTGTGCTAAGGTGAGTGCCCGTGTTGCATAGACTGATCCTACCACACAGGAAATGTGCTCTCATACGCTGCTGTGACTGGATATCAATGACTTGAACAACCCAGACCATTGATCCAGAGATATCTCTCTCTCTCTCTCTCTCCCTTCCTTCCTTGCTTGCTTTATCCCCTCCCAGTTTCTCTTTAAATTCCTCTCCTCTGTCTTTTATCCTGCTTTTCCATATGGATTTTTTTCCTTTTTTGCCCCTTGCTTCACTCCTTTCCTCTATCCTCCCCCTCCCTCTGTGGCTCTTGCTTTTCAGCTTTCCTCCTTCAAAGGACAGAGGACACAGCTGAAACAAAGGCTGCCTGTATACCAGCTGAGCCAGCAGGATGGAGGGAAGGAGGGAAGGATGGAAGGATGAAGGGATGAAAGTGAGGCAAGCAGGAAAGAATGAGGGCAAAGAGTAAGGTGGGAGAAGGTGGAAGGGAGGGGTGTAGGACAGGGCTAAGAAAACGAAGGCACAAGTGTGTGTGTGTGTGTGTGTGTGTGTGTGTGTGTTGGGGGAGGGGTGCAGGCTGTGCCAAGAGACAGAGTGATGAAGCAGGGATGGAGGTTTTAAAAAAAAAAGGGGGGCAAAAGGTATGTGAAAGAGAAAAGATGAAGGATAGGCGAAGACAGAGACTGATGGAGAGAGATTGCTCTCACATCAAAAGTGTGTATCAGTCTGTATCAGCAATATCTCTCTCACACACACACACAAACACACTCACACACAAATCTGCCACAAGCGCAAACACATGTACTTCATTTTATCTACTCTTCTCAAATCAACCCATTGGATTGCTATCACAGGTTTCAACACAATTTATTTATTTATCATTGTTGTCTCATTGACATAAATGTTTACTGTACAGATACACTGAAGACAAATATATATTTTTTATTCACAGTTCTTAAGATGACCTTGGAAAGGAAAAGGAAACTTCTGTAGAGAGATAAAGTCTCTTTGTCAGCAAATCTGCCACTAGCAGCAAAAGTGATTGACTTGTGTTAACATGCACAATCGCACAATCCAATGCATGCAAGGCAATGACCCCTATCTAGTGGGCTCATGGGGAAGGAAAAAAAACGCATGTTTTAGTAAGCACACAGTATCATCTATCTCTGATCCTTTTTTTATACTGTATGTTTTGTTGCTGAATAAAACAAATTACTGAATGATTGATTCAGTGTGTTACTCATCGTCTGTTTCCTCCCCGAAATATTCATTTATTAATCAACTTCTGAATTCTGCTACCCTGAAAATGACCCTGAGGGAGGCACAACTACGAATACAGAGTGGAAAGTGTTCCAATTAATTTGCTTGTGCAGCAGAATCTCATCCAAGGCTCTTATGTAACTTCATACTAAACTTATTAGCGCAGCTACTTACAGACACAAACAGACAAATAAAAGTCATCTATGGAGTCAGGACTTTCTCACCTTACTTTAACCCTTTCCTCACTGACCATCCCAGTCCCCAGCCAATTTAACAGAGAATAATTTAACCCCACTCATGATTATAAACCTGTCATTACGATTTGATTTACAGTTTCAAATGGGTGCAGTTTAAAATTAAAAGTGTAAATAGTGATCGGTATCAAATTCTGCAAAAACAAAAACAAAAACAAAAAAACCCAAACAAACAAAAAAAGGTTCCTTCAAAAGGATAGTTTGATATGCAGTTACGACTAACTTCAAAATTCTCTCACTCACCTTTAAAAATTCCAGTGAACAGCATTATACAAACTGTGAATCAATACATTTACTTTCGATTCCAAGCTTGACAAGACAACCAGTCCAGCTCATTGAGCCAGCATCCTGGTGAGACTACATTAACTCCACCTTAGTCTGGAGTTTGCATGGGTGCATTTATCTTTAATGAGGCCTGGATACCCAGGGTGAAGTGCCATAGCAACTTTGTTCAACATGGGTTCCCCATGATGTTAAAAGCTTTGAATGATCCCAAGGTGAACAGAAGAATTCCAATTTGTCAAGAGAAAAAGGGATCCTAAAAATATTTGCTTTTAATTATTCAATATCTTATGTAACTCCAAACCAGGAAATGCCATAACTAGGCTGAACAGCCACAGGATGTCTTCGGAGTTACAGTTTGTTTATTCTGTATTTTAGAGTTCACAGTATGGGCAGCATAGTGAGATACCACAGACATCAAAGATTTCTTGTAGTCAAAGCCAGGAGGTGTGTACCAGCAAATCACTGCAATATGATGTCATAATGTCATTCACAGTGGAAAAAATGTTAGAAAACGTCTTTATGGTTTCATAGTTGACAACCGTACAGCTTTAAGTATTCATTTGCATATTAGTTTACTTGATTCAGACGTACATCTTTTAGTTACCAGCATGACTCTCATAATTGGATCTTGTTCGTTAAACAATATTATTTCCTGTTATGTTCTGAAATGGGACCGATGATGTTATTTTTCCAACTCCCTTTCTCCTAGAGTAGCTTTGCATGATTCACGGTTCAAAATTCTTCTTTTGTCCTTTACATCAGTCCTTGGTGCAGCCCCTCAGTTCATCCACCATCTTAAAGAAGTTTTAGTTCCTTTCCTAGCCTGCCTTCAAGCAGCTGATTGTTGCAAACAAAAGGTTTGAACAGCTGGATTTCTTTGCTCACTGACATCATACAAACCTACAAGTAGAAAAAATAAAGACTGAGCATTTAGAGCACTCTGTAGCCTGAGCTGTCGGCTCAAAGGAATTAAATGTAAATACCCTGATCTTATTATTGGTAACTGTTTGAATCACTGTATCGTCATCATTGAATCAGTATATAGAATAAATAAAGACGGGCATAATGTTTGTTCAAATAATGTGTTTCGTCATTTAAACACTAACTCCAGCTACACCTGCAACTCCACACTCCACTTACCCATTATGGATGATGTGTGGTAGATGTTTTGGGTCGGATAGACTTCTGTATGCACAGACAGGTTGTGGTCAAATCTTTAAAGTTTGCTTCCAGTGAGTATAACTGTGGAAGCAAAAGTGCCAAGCATAATAAAGCCCTGTTTATGCAAGTTTACTTGTGTGCGTGAGTCTGTGTGTGTGTGTGTGTGTGTGTGTAACGCTTGACTGAGTCCATGGATAGAACCCATTGCCAGCCAAGCCAGCAAGTCACTCTTCTGAATTATTGAAACAGGTCAGTAGGCAAGAGGAGAACAGCGTCTGTACGTCTGTGTTTGTGATCGTCTGTCTGTGCACAGCAGTGCACTGCAAATTCAGAGCTTAAGCTTTCTGCTGTCTTCTATAGAGGGAATTAATGGCTGTGCCTTCTATTCACTAAGATTATAAATAGAAAACAAGTCAACATTTTAACAAATGCAAAATGCTGCAAACAGAGGATTAGGTATGTTGAAAATAGTTATACGCCTTGAATACAGAGCTCTATCGGAAAACATTTACCTGGAAAGTAAAAACACCTGGGATGACCTAAAAAGTGCTGATATTTCTCAGTCACATTAAAGTCACGAGAAGAAGCTTCAGAGCAGCTGTGCTCTTTTCTGTTCTTGCTGTTGTCCTGTGCTGTTTTTCTGTCCAACCAAACAGCAGCCAAAATAAATAGTCCAGCAGTATAAATACCAAGGGTAACCAATGTTCCTAGATGAGATAAATATAAAGAAGCCAGACAGCACTTCTGATCTGTGCTGCTGTGATACTTAACGCACCAATGGAACAGATGCACAAACAAGTTGTTGGACTTTGTTTTTGGCTTTTTTTGTCCTGGAAAAAAGGAAAGGAAAAACATTACTTTTCTTTTAATAAAATGTGCTCTCATTGGTTTGGGTTTTATTTAAAACATAGTAAAGGATTGGATTTAAGTAAAAGAAAAAACAAACAAACAAACAATGATCAACACATCGCATGAACCTGATATTTTAACAGAAATGAATCTGGTGTGCCTGCTGCTGTTTACTTTGGCAAGAAAATACTAAATGTAAATAGATCTAGATAGATAGACAGTAATACACAAATAAAACCATCGAAGTGCAGCTGCTTTGTTCAGAGTTCAGGGATATCAGTACTTCTTAGTATTCTTGCCCTGGAAGCTCTTGTTTTATTATTACAATACAGATGCTTTTTGTTTGTTGTTTCTTTGCGTGTATTTATATGCTTTCCTTTCTTCTTTTATTCTCCAATTTACATCTGTATTCTTTGTTGCTGCACACCCCCATGCCCCCTAGGAGACTATAAAGACCATCCTGACTCAGCTTATCTTACAAATGCACCATGTTATCTTTGCACAAGTGCATACTGTGAACTGGAAAATGAGTAAGTCTAATTAGCGCAGTGTTATCTTCGAGTCCAACCCACTCAGTAGTAATAGAGCGCAGTATTGATGCTCCCACACATTTATACGCATTAACTCATCCAGTCACTGTAAAAGCTGGTAGTGTACTACAGAGAGCAGTTGTATAACTGAGGTGTGGTCAGTCACTTGCGGTTACACAACTCAGCAATGATGAGTGTATTTTAGCAAGCAAGCGTATGTGCAGCATGTCTCACTACTGTGATGCTACTTTCACCAGCTGTGAAACTGTGCAAATAAACCACACGCCTGTAGAACAAGCACTCAGCCACAGTTGGGAATTGTTTGTCTTCATTGTTGCTTTTGTGTGTTTCATGTCTGTCTCCAAGTTCAAATGAAGCCAGTGAGCAATTAAGATTTGTATATTCTCAGAGAATAT